GACCAGACCCGCCGCGCGCGCGAGGCCGAAATCGAGCAGATCATCGCAGAGGAAAAGAGCAGTCGCAACAAGATGCCCCGATACCCCGGCCTCGAACGTTATACCCTCGTCGAGAAGATGGGCGATGGCGCTTTCAGTAACGTCTATCGTGCCAGGGATAGCACCGGCGAATACGGCGACGTGGCCATCAAAGTCGTTCGGAAGTTTGAAATGAATAGTAATCAGGTAGGAACTGCGACCACCCACTCGTTTTCCTTGGTTGTGTCCTGGTTTATTTGCGCGCTCTGGTTATTTCTCGTTATGCTGCTACTACTGTGACTTCTGATTTGCTGGTTTGCTTTGGTTCCTCTTTTATCTTTCCTTTACCCTTTTTGAGTCATTTCGCCAATCTCTTGTCAATAGTCATCCGCCCATCTACATCCCGGGATGAAGAAGAAACCCAAAGCTACAGAGGTGCGCAATCCCTCTGGGATGATCTTCATGAGTCACCCATCCAACTCGCACGGGGCGCATGATACCCTGCCCTTGCCATGTCTTCTTTTTGTCTCACTTGCTATCAGGGACTCCAGAGATGTTTGCTCGAGCTAATGACTCATCTTCCTCATAGCGTGCCAATATCCTGAAAGAGGTCCAGATTATGCGACAGTTAGATCACCCGAATATCGTCAAACTGGTCCAGTTCTCCGAGTCGCGCCAATATTACTACATCGTGCTGGAACTCTGCCCTGGTGGCGAATTGTTCCATCAGATTGTGCGATTGACCTACTTCAGCGAAGACCTCAGTCGCCACGTTATTCTTCAAGTTGCCAAGGCCATTGAATATCTCCATGAGACCTCCGGTGTCGTGCATCGGTAAGACTTGACACACGCGCTCTCGCCCAACCCCAACCCCAACCCCAACCCCAACCCCCCCCCCCCCCCCCCCCCTTCCCTTGGATATGCTGACACTTGCGACAGTGACATAAAACCCGAAAACCTTCTCTTCTACCCCATCGACTTCATTCCGAGCAAGGACCCCAAACCTCGTCAGCCTGGAGATGAGGACAAGGTTGATGAAGGTGAATTCATTCCTGGAAAAGGCGCTGGTGGCATTGGTGTGATAAAGATCGCCGATTTTGGTCTGTCCAAGGTCATCTGGGACAGCCAAACTATGACGCCCTGTGGAACCGTCGGTTACACCGCACCCGAGATTGTCAAGGATGAGAGATACTCGAAGAGTGTTGACATGTGGGCCCTGGGATGCGTTCTTTATACCCTTCTTTGTGGCTTCCCGCCATTCTATGATGAGAGCATCCAAGTTCTCACTGAGAAGGTCGCGCGTGGCCAATACACCTTCCTGTCGCCATGGTGGGACGATATCTCCAAGTCGGCGCAGGATTTGATCTCCCATCTGTTGACGGTAGATCCGGAGAAGCGGTACACCATCAAGCAATTTTTGGCGCATCCCTGGATTCGTCAGACCGACGAAGCAACCGAAGCAGCTGCAGATGCTCCGCCTCTGGCAACCCCGCTATCCACCCGCAAGACACAACAACTGGATGCTTTCGCAGCGGATCAAGCACCCTATGCCCCGGCCAGCGCCCGTCTCATGGACCCAGCTTCTGCAGGCCTCGAGCGTCCCATGGACTTCCGCTCCCCTGGGGCGATCAACCTGCGCGAGGTTTTCGACGTAGGCTATGCTGTTCACCGGCAGGAAGAGGAAGGCAAGCGGCGCAAGAACTTCCGCCAAGGATATCGTGGTGCGAACCCGTCCACGGCATTCCAGTCGGCGCTTAATCCATTGAACGAAGACTACGATGAGGCCGAAGAGATCACCTACCAACCCCTCCCTCGGGACGATTTCCCTCCAGCGAAGATCCCCAAAGCCTCCCAGCAAGCCGGCGATGTAGCTGCCATGGAAGCGAAACTCCGATCGACGAACCTAGGAGCGCCCAGCCACGCCGCGCAAGCGCGCCAAGCACACCAGCCTCGACAGCAGCAAGGATATGGTCAACACAGCGCCAAGGTTGCCGCCGCTGCGAAACAGAGCATTGCTCGGGGTGCGCGGGAGCCCTTCGAGCTGAGCCTCGACAACGCCACACTATTAGAGAAGAGAGGTCGACGACAACAGGGCCAGGTTGCTTAATCCTCTCCCTTTCTCATACCATTTCCCTCCATCTCCTAAATCCACAACACTACCTGACGACTCGAGAGCCACAGGCTACGAACTCCCCTTGCTTATGAGTTTCTTGATCTGATGACCTAAACCCTATTCCCCCCCTTCACCTTATTCGAACGTTGGACAGGATTCCTGGGTGGCTACACACGAACTCGATCGGTCGCATTTATTCTGGGTGTTTCTTTGCTCCTTGGTATTATCTTTCTTCTTTGATCTTTTCCTTTCATGGCTGGTAATCTTCTTTACTCATGTTTTAGCTGTATTCGGGTTCTGGGCACAGCATATGGTATGGTCCCTTTTCTTCTCACATTTGTATTGATTGTTGCTGGGCTGTTCTGTTCAATGAATGTTATTACGTGCGTGCCATTCTCCTCCGGGGTTATACATTTTAACATGCTTTGGTGCTTCACATGCACATACATACATATTTCCGAAAGGAGCACATTCGTGGCATGGATTTTTCTCACAATGCGTGGTGGGCTATATCTATGGATATTTGTGCAGCTGCTTCCTTTTCTATCGAGGTAGTCCGGCGTATGTACGGGTTTGCTTTTTCTTTCGTAACTAAAAGCGAATCCTGGTCGATCTATGTTAGTATATCTAGATGACCGAAATGGATGATTATGAAAATAGTACTTGTCTGTAGAATTATGCCTTTTGCCTAGTTGATGCATTCCGTGTGGCTCTTTCACACAAGTAGTACTACCTTGGAATAATACAAAAATTCCCTAGTGTCCGTCTGTTTGTCTGTATGCTTATACCGACTTCTCAAGTCCTTAGCAGCACAGCACCATTTTTCCCATACAGTACCATCATCATCACCACCCTTTTTTCCCAAACATATGTTCCACATCTATAACTACTTGGCGCAATATCCATGTTTCCCTTTCCATCCATAATACATAGTAAGTAGTACTACTTGTAGTAGCGATAGCAGCAGCACTCCATCTCAACTTACTAATAGTATGTAAATAACTCCATCCCATCTCATCCTAAGATACTATGAGTACTGCATTAATCACTAATCGTGGTTAAAAAACACATTTCAACTATCTAGTCAATACTCTTATGTATTGGAGAAGCTTTCGGCTAATCCAGAAAATGAATATTGACTTTATTTGGTGCGGCATTGATTGAGGAGATGGGGGACACAGTTGGCGGTTGGATTAGTTCGTTGTTACTATGTATGTACTGTGAGGGATGAGAGATGGTGGTGTTGGTGCAAGTGAGGCGAGAGTCGTGTCGAGGATTAGTACTATTTACTATTGCTAAGTGCTTGGGAGATTGCGCTACGCTGAATTTGAATTTGGGATGGCTCAGTAAAAGTATGTTTTACAGTTAATCCAAGGAATACAAGATCACTCCAAATATGTAACCGATGATGAAAGTCATATGCAGTTTCCTTCTATTTCCTATGCTATCATACTCCTTTTTTTGCTTCTTTTGATCCTATATATACGGCTAACCAAAAGAAAAAAGCGTCATCCACCCACACGTCATACAGCAGGAATATCAACACATGAAAAGTAGTACAACCGAACAAGTCGAATCAAGCAAACATGTGTACATGTGGAACCAGACACTTATGTGCAATTCCGTCGTCCATGCAAGTCATTCACAACATTGGTATCATGCATCCAATATGCTCGCTTACCCAAGAACTTGAGACTGAGCGCATAATCATAACCAGCCGTAATGGTATAAGCAATCGTGAAATGAATATATAAGTATGTGCCTCCCTTTTTTTTTTCTCTTTTGTTTTTGTTATCATTTACAGCGTCTGCTTTCCCCGGGTTTCAATAGGGAGAAGACACATGGCCACAAATGCTGCCAGAATCAGTCCACCAGATGCGTAGATAGGAGCATCTGGGTTGGCACTTCCGCCGTAGATGGCCACAAGAGGCGCGCACAGTCCCGCAATGCGGTTAAGGCAGCTGGAGATGCCAGTGGCTGTACCACGGTTCGGAGCCGGGAAGACCTCGGGAGTGTAGGCGTACAAGACGCCATACATGATGTTCTGGAAGAAAGCCTCCAGGCAGGAGCAAAGCAGTTGGATGTTGGAGTTGGTCGAAGCCGTGAAGCAGAAGAGCAGCACTCCGGTAATCAATGTGGAGATAACCATGGTACCCTTACGACCAACATACTTGATTTCAACGGTGTAGCAGGCCAGGATCGATCCCGGGACACCGACGATCGAAGTGATAGCATAGTTCCGGTAGGCAATGTATGTAGAGCTGGAGCTGGAGCCACCTGCATTCTCGAGGTACTGGGGAAGGAAGGCATTGAACAGGGGATAACCCATTCCAATCGTAGCCCAGCAGAACCAGAGGAGAACGGCTTAAAAGGTGACTAGTTAGTCTAGGTTGAGGACGATGGAATATTGCGTTGAAGACATACTGGAGAAGCCAAGCTTCTTGGAGGAGAAGAGAGGTCCAATGCGTTCCAAGGAAAACTTGGACAGGTTCCTCCGGACGATTTCAGCAAAGCTGAGTTTTTCATCTGCCACCTCCTCGGGATAACCTCCGATTTCGTTCAGGATTTCCTCAGTCAGCCAGGTCTTGGTTCGGTTCTTGTGGGCAATGCCGTGAACCGAAGCAACAGCATCGCTCTGACGGCCGCGTGCAAGCAAATACTTGGGCGACTCGTATAAATGGAAGAGGAAGAAGCGGCAAATGAACATGACGAAAGTGAGAGCGCCCAGCGTATAGCACAAGTATCGCCACCCCATGTTGCTTTGCTTAGTGCAACAGGCCTCTCCGCTAGCAACATTACCACAAGCAGGCAGATCGCTGCTGCAGCTGTAGTTCGGAATGAACGCCCATGCGAGTAGACTGATTGATTACTTGTTAGCCTTGGACTCAAGACATAGATGAGGATGACATACCTGGAGACTAGTTGACCGAGAGGCCACCAGACACTCAACATTGTCAGAAGGTTTCCCGAGGCAAAAGGCAGGAACTCCAAGAACAGAGCCCCATCGACAGGCAGGTTACCACCCACACCGAGGCCCAAACAAGCGTACAGGGCACAGGCTCTAGGACGATGCATTAGCAAGCGGCACTTCACAGAAATACTAAGGGGACATACCCGATCCAAGTTGGGGCACCACCGGCGGCAATACCAAACACACCGCAAATAAATAGTGTCATATTGAAAGCTGGGCGACGACCAATAATGTCGGACGCGATGCCCCAGAACGATGCACCAATGCAAAGACCCAAGAACAGGGAGCACGTTGTGAATCGGACCCACGTAGTAGAAACCCCAAACTCCGAGGCAATTGGTGTTAGCGTCAACGCCACACCCTTTTAGCGGTTAGCAATGGGTCATATAAGACAACATCTTCATTGAAATTAAAATGTATCTATCTCACCTGCAACCAGAGACTGGAGTAGACCAATGTTAGCCGAGATATACTTGATGCGGAAAAGGGAACCTCTTACTTGTCTGCTAGCCAGCCAAAACCACAGAGCGCAAAAAGCTGCCACTGGTAGCGGCCCATGCCAATATCCTGGATGGCTCTATTGATGAGTTTTGCCTTGCCTGTAGAAAATCCACGGTCAGATCTTGGGCTTTTGAAGGAGCCCAAATAGAGGGCTAATTATTCTAGAGGGATTTCGAAGAGCAGGGAGGAAGGACAGCAGCCGCCCCATGGGGCAACATCATAACATACGGTCATACGCGGTGTCTTTTCCTGATGTCGCGACATCAGCCTCGACTTCAGCGCGAAGGGCCTCAATGGTAAGGGTGCTGTAATTGTGGACAGACCCTACGCCGGCTTCCGACGAGGGAGCTCTGTCCAAACTCCTATTGTCAGTCTTCTCATCAGGGCGCTCGGTTTTCTCTAGTGCAGGGTTCGGCTTGTGATGCGGAGGGGCTTCGGACAGGGGCACCACGACCCCAGGGAAGTCGTGGTCGTTTTTCCGGAAAGGGTTGACTCCGAAAGGCATGGCTGCTGGATTTCAGTGATAAGGTCGCATGCGATGAGGGCAACTTTCGGTATGGGCTATGGCACCGGGAGTAGATTGGGGAGCAGGGTCGATAGTCTGCTTTGGCGGGCTTCGGCGTGACTCGGAACTACTTGTCGCTATGGTCTGCAAGGGAATTTTCTCTATCGATATCCGGGATGCTCAGAAAGCTAGGGGTCACCGATGGCTTTGCAATTGTCGCTAGGGTCAGATACAGTAGGCGCAATGGCTGTAGAATCGCGATAGGTTGGTGCTAGGGACAGGCTGAACAGGAACCAATACTCGGGGACCGTTAAGAAGGCGCTCAGGGTTATCAGTGGCCGGGTTTTCGTAGGTCTTATGTCGAGGCTATTGAAGCGCACGTCGTACAGCTGGAGATCGAGCAGACGGTTTTCGCCTTTGCTGGAGCAGGTTTCAAATATATCCAAAAGGAGTCAATGGTATATAGGTAATGCCAAGGGGCAAAAAAGCCAGGAACACTGAGAACTGCAGCTCAGTCGACCTATAGATGACAGGGAGGGAGAATGAAGAGGTATAAGAGGGCAAGGAACAGAGATAGTTCCGACTGACAGAGCGAATGAGTTGAACTTCTTCTCAGGGCGATGGGATGGCGCACGGAGAAGAGGATCAATCGACTGCACTCGCTGTCGTCTTCTGGCACACTCTTTGAAGAAATGCAACGGTATAAGGGGGAAAGAGTTGTGGGGAGGGGGTGGGTAGTATATGAGATGGTAGAGATGAGGGAGGGTAAGCACAGGAAAGAACCAAGGTTTGGGGATGAGGAGAGGGAAGCTGAGGTCTATATACGCATCCAGCTTCGGACTGAAAGCTAACATGGAAAAGGAAAAAAAGACTGCATCGCAGCAATTCGCATCGCAAATCACTGTCTCTTCCTTCTTTCCCAAATTTCTTTTTTACTTTTTTCTGTCTGCTGCTACGATACATGGGGTGGTATGGGTCCGTCCCTGTAAATTAAATTAGTGCTTTTTGCAAACGCCGAGAAGTGGCAAGTGCCAACAACTTAGTTTCCTAAAGGCGATGTAATGCAACTGGTCGGCAAATCTTTTTAAATACCTTGGCAGCTGTAAACTCATGCATATTTTCTCTTCACTCGTTTTCCGAGTATCTTGGAAGTCTGGCTATGACTATCTACGGAGAGGCGTAAATATGCTTTCTCATGATTCTTCAGATGCAAATACCGTGATACATGTACCGAGCCCGTATGGCCCCCCATACTTTGGCCGGACTCAGGCTAGCGCGGGGCGATGGAACCACACCGGCCGAAACCGATATTTTATTTTGACAATGATGATTGGACCGTCTATACCCTGGTAGGGTGTCTTGGCGTTGACGGCGGACGCCATGACCCTTGGCAGATGCAGACTGCAGCGATACCCCGGCGAAAATCGACTTGACGATTGGAGCGATGTCTTACCAAAAGAGACGATATGATAGGGAATATGTAGGGCTTATCTTTCGCAGAACTCAGCAGAGATAGGAGTACTCAATTGCCACCAAAAAGAGCGGGAAAAGGGCTATTTTGTGCGGCAAACCCAGAGCTCTGGCTTCTCGGTATGCAATAAATGCTGCACAGCACCTTTTTTTTTGTCTTCTCGTCAACACCGGGAAAGGGTGCACTAGGAAAGCCACTTCTTCCTCTAACCCACTTCTCGGCGGTGACCAGCTACGTTGACTGGACGGTAGAAATCGAGGGTTCCTCGGGAGGTGCCAGATTGTCCAAGCAATAAGACAGCTGGCTGGCATTCATCTCCGCAACGTGCGTTGGTTGATCCCAACGCAAGGGAGGCTCTCCATGGTGCCGGCTGAGGCGCATGGTCAGAATTTGGGGTAATGATGCCATCCGAAGAAGCTTAACTCGTCGTCATCAGTAAACATATCCTCTAAACGGCTCAGGACAGTATGTACACATAGAACAAGTCCTTCCGAGTCTAGGATTTCCTCACATGAGCACAATCAAGTCGGTCCACGTGCCAGATTCGCCCGATATTCTTCTACGTCATCGCCATAACTTCTGTAAGACACTAATCCCGACTTGGAATAGTTCAAAGTTACCTGACAACGTCGGTACCGAGCAGAGAGATCTGACAATGTAGGATGCCATGGCCACTAAGGCACTCCGTTGGCGCAGTTGAAACCTGATTTGGTATGTGAGAATCCGCCCTCTTGGTTTCTGTCGAATGCGAAGCCACTTTCTCCCAAGTTTCAAGACCAGGGACTGGTGGACTGTGTCGTACCTATGATTGAAGGCCTGAAAATCTATGTTCAACAGACACGAGTATCTTACATCCGATCTACACTCTGGAGATGGTAACCGTAAGCCACGAGCGCAGCTGCACCTGAAAAATCTACCCGTCCAGCATGCATGTAGAAAACGTACTAGGAGTCGCCGACACGAGGCACCATGATGAAGTAGGTTTAGAGGCCCAAGACGACCAGCCTTTCCCAGACGGGAATGGCACGGCAGAGGCCTGAGCCTGAGGTCGCCAGTCCAGTCCCAGCAGGGATCATCGTTACACTGGTCCGTCATGACTTCCGCAACCGTTTCTCAGATACCCCGTTCCCCGGGTCGTCCAATCATTGCTCATAAAACAGGCCATAATTTCCTACAGACGGGCATCTCTAATGGGGCCACAGGCCACAAATGGCGTTTTCTCGGAGGCAGAGTGGTAGTAGTAATAGTGGTAGTCATGCAAATGGCTCCCTAATTTACCAACCGGGCCAACCACAGGCAGTTCTCTCTCGACAAAAGGGTGACCTGCTAGACCTGCTAAATGGGGGCCAAGACCAGCCTGTCGTAAAATACAACCAACGGCTTGTCCATTCACACACGGTTTCTCTGCCGTCAAAGTCCGCTCTGTATTGCCCTTTTGGTCATGGTTAGTTTTCGGACCATCTTGCTTTCCGCGGGAAGGTACGCCGGTGGTACCATCGCGCCATAAGCTGGAGGACTAGAGGGAAACCGTAGGCCAAGTTTATGCTTATGTTTCTGTCCTGGTTGCCTCGCTTCATGGATGGGCTGGACCATGGCATCTTCTCTACTACATCAGGATGTCCATTAAACAGATAGCAGCTGAGATCGAACCCCTCATTCTCCCGTTATCTCCGGCTGATGAATGTACCTCCAACACGACGACACGGCGACAGACGATGGCTTAAGCACTGCATTCAACGGAAAAAGACGGGAAAGTTTCCAAACTAAGCGGACTGCAGACGAAGTGAGTCGCTAATGAAGATCCAGTTCGTAGAGTTCCCATTCATGTATCAGTAGCTTATGGAGAAACTACCAAGGTGCGGAGATAGTGTACCGGGACAGTTTTTCTCTATCGGGACATATTATCCAGCTTCATATCGAAATCTCTCGGCGCCACTTCCAACGCAATCCGGCAGAAGGAAGCGAACGAGGACGTGCTCTTCGAATGGCTGTTCGTGGACTTATCCCCTCCGCTTCTTCACTCGGACGCAAAACGTTGGGACTTCCGTGAGCCATTTCTTTAGAAAACTAGCGGTTCTGTCACAACATTAGCGGGCTTGGAGCATTCGGATACTGATCAAAACAAAGGCCCTGAGCAGCTGCGCGTTCTCCGCAAAGCCACGAGAGCTTCTGGACTTAAGGGGGAATAGTTGACGTCAGTCGAACACTAACACCGGCCCTTGGGGCACGAGAGTACATTATCTCATCTTGCCACGAAAGATGGCGTGTCCGCAGCGATTTTCGCCGGTTCCAACTCGGGGGAAACGTTTTCCTGACCGACTGTGGTGTTTGTAGTTGGGGAGATAGATGATACCCTTTGACACCGCCACAGATTGAGGTAATGAATGGCCTTCGGAACCGGAGAATTGGATAGTCCCGGCGGCTGTCGACACGTGATCGGCGACCGAGCATCGAGGGGCTGCGCAGTGCGCGCCTGAGCCTTTGGTGCGCGCTCCCTTTAAGGCCAATATGCCAAAACAATACTCCGCATCATAACTCTGATTACCTCCTGGCTATGTACTGCGCCACATGCCAATGTGGGGGGTAGACATCACATATTTTGAATTTCTCTGTCTATCTGGCAATCTTTCAGGTCCTCGTCCGACACCAGAGTCGCTCGTGTCGGTTCTCACAGTTCATACACCACCACCATGACCAAGATATTGACCTCCAGCCAAGCTGAGGAACTGTGAGTATATTTATGCCATGGCCTGCCGTACCTTGCTTGCGCGCTTATACGCAACCCAGGCATAAGTCGATAATCGCCTACCTCTCATCAATAAATGCCTCGCGGAGTTGTGAAGTGCTGCGGGAGGAACTCCAGGTGGACAGTAGTTTCGACGATGCGCTGTGCCGGAAATATGAGGGGCTATTAGAGAAGAAATGGACCGGAATTGCTCGGCTGCAGAAAAAGGTAGGTACATGTGCTTGACAGGGTCGGTCGTTTGGAGTTGTTCTTTCCTCGTCGCTGGAGAACTCAGTAACTAATCACCGTGTAGATCTTGGACTTAGAATCTAAACTCGCTGGGCTCCAAACCGAGCTTGACACTATATCACCTACAGCCCGTTCCACCGGGAAGGACCCGATAAACTGGCTTCCTACTTCTTCCCGACACACATTCGAGTCGCACCGAGATGCTGTCACATGCGTCGCATTCCATCCTGTCTTCACCTCTCTCGCCTCCGGTTCCGAGGACTGCACAATCAAAATATGGGATTGGGAACTCGGCGAACTAGAGCGGACACTCAAGGGCCATATGAGGCCGGTCTCCGATCTCGATTTTGGCGGTCAGAAAGGACATACCATACTAGCATCATGTTCGAGTGATCTCCAGATCAAACTGTGGGACCCGAACAAGGATTATGCCAATGTTCGGACTCTTTCTGGGCATGACCATTCAGTTTCGGCTGTGCGCTTTTTGCGACAGACAGATAACATTCTTATTTCGGCCAGTCGGGATGCGACAATTCGGATATGGGATGTGTCAACCGGATACTGTGTCAAGGTGATCGACTCGCAGGGCTCCTGGATCAACGACGTATCGCCTTCTTTCGATGGAAAGTGGCTGGTCACAGGAGGCCGTGATCAAGCCGCGATGGTTTGGGAAGTCGCATCAGCCAAATCGGTTGCGTCATTAATAGGCCACGAGAATTTCATCGAGTGCTGCGTATTTGCGCCTCCCTCAAGCTATAAGCACTTGGCCGCTATTGCGGGACTAAAGACAGCACCACCTGCGAGTAGCTCCTCCGAATTCATTGCGACGGGAGCTCGTGACAAGACGATCAAGCTCTGGGAATCCCGGGGCCGATTGATCAAGACATTAGTTGGGCACGACAACTGGGTACGAGGCCTATTATTCCATCCTGGTGGGAAATATTTAATCAGTGTGGCGGACGACAAAACAATACGTTGCTGGGATCTGTCTCAAGGAGGAAGATTGGTGAAGACGATCAACGCCCACGGGCATTTTGTTAGTTGCATTCGTTGGGGCCCAGTACCTGTGAGCGATGTTCCAGTGGAGACTTCTGAATCGACTAAAAGTTCCAAGTCGGACTCTGTCAAGCCTGGGTTTCAATGCGTCATTGCAACAGGGAGCGCCGATTCAAGTGTACGGATTTTCACGTAGTTTCAGAGGTAAATGATTGCATATATCCTAACCTTTTCAAAGACTAATACCAATACGAAGACTCAGATTCATGAAGCTCCCTCCTCCCATCCGCAAGACACATACACACTCACACCCTTGTAAATGCAATCCGAGGAGAAACAAACAAGCAAGCCCCGATATTCCGAGGTCGAGGTCGAGGTCTCCAGCCGCAGATCTCTTTTTCCTGTACACAAACAAACCCAAACACACTGCTGCTCATCACGGCTCCCGATCAGGAAAATTGATTGATGAAATGATGAATGAGATTATGACTGAAGCTGAATCTGATACACACGCGTTGGTTGCCTAGAAATAGCATGATGATGTCTGAAGTAGGAGAAGGAGAGGACCTTAGGAGAGGGAACCGGTTACACATCACAGGGTCATGTCTGGATCAGACATCAGACATGCAACACTCGCGAAGCAAAAAGCACAATGCAGCGCGACCTTTCCCACCACTCAGACCGAGATGGAGACGAGCAATCTCTTCACGCATCGCATCATGCATGTCTACTATTTTTCTCTTTTTTTGCATACCCCCTATTTATTTAAGATAGCAGGGCACCCACGTCCCTTGCTGCTTCCTTACTGTATTTGACTTTTTTCTTTTTTCTTTCGTTCCTGCCGGTTCCATCAGGGCATCTGTCTTCTCCCCTTGCAGGAAGCATTTCGTGGAATGGGGATTTCTTGCACCAAGGCGCACGGTCTAGACTACTTAGAGACTCTGCGGCTTTTCTGGTTGGCATCATCCTTACTATCTTGATTGTAAATAGATTCTCTATCTAGCTAGCTTTAGTGCCAATTGCTTACAGACATGCATTGTTGGCAAGGTGTATCTGATATACTCGCTTGCTCCATTCGTGTCCATTTCCTGTGTTACGGCATTAGTGGAGGATACTGCGTGACTGACTTGCTAAGTATTTACCGCTCGCTCTCTCTCTCTCTCTCGGGGACAATTGTTCATTTTCAGATCATATAAGTCAAATATCGTTTCCTGGGCAAGGCACATTGAGTTTAATGTACGATTGGACTGCAGCTTCAGGATTAAACCCGAGTTAGCAGTCAAATAGCGTCATAAGTAGAAGTGCCGAGGGGTAGAGTGTGTTATGCTCTGCTTCAAATCAGCTACGTTATGCTTGTTAGTTACAATTCTTCCGGTCTTCAGGTTGAAAAGATAGGGGAAGTGAGGGTAAGTAGGCCAGTACTCTACTATGAATTTTGCTTTAGAGACTGCCAGTAAAAGCAATTCATGTACATTCGCATACAACGTATCTACAGATCATAACTTATGACTATCATCGTGACATCGTCCCCCGTGGTAGCCTACCCGCCTTACAGGGTATCCCGCCGGCCAAGCAGCCACTCAAGGTGACGGTATGACACTCTGGGTTGGAATTGGGGCTGCATGTGTCCGCTCTGGAAGGTCTCAGCCCACATAAGACCACGCTCATAGTGCTGGATGCCCATGACACCCTGACCACCTTGTGGGTCATAGCCGTTCTCAATGAACACTTCATTGTACATCAGGTCAGGGATGTCGATGTTGATGGGGGTGCTGGGGGCCGTGTCGAATCCAAGCTTTCCATTCCATGTCATGTTCTGGATCGAGAGAAGGGTGCCGTTGGTAAGGATGACCATGTCATAATCACCGTTACCGATCAGAACTCGGTTGGTGCCTTCGATGACCTGGGGCAAGACATGCTCGATGGGGTTGGCCGAGTAGTCGCCCTCCTGCTCGGGACCGCCGTCGCCCCCGACAAAGACGCTCTCCACCGAGCACTCGGACCAGGTGATGTTAGGAGCGTGCATGGCACGCTTAACATCAGCGCGGTCAAAGTAGATGCTGGCGCCCGCAGGGAGATAGTCGACTTCGGTGGGGAATCCAAGAACGTCCCAGAGAATGGGGCACATCTCGTTGATTTCGTAGGGGTTGAAGCACGGGTTGGGATCCAGGACGGCGTTATTAACGATGTCATAAACATCACAGGTGGGATCGCTCCAGTTCATAGCCTTTGGCGGCTGGACACCGGATGCTGGGAAGACTAGATACTGGTCGATGAAATCCTTGTATCCACATTGCTCATGGATGCTCTCTAGTTCCGCCAAAAAGCTTGCATTGAAATTGAAGAGGGCATTGTTCTTCTGGACAAAGGGAACAACAGGTGCTTCCTCCTGCACGTAGTCAAACTGACCAATACAGGGATCATATGCCAGTGCACCTAGATAGTACAATCAGTACAAGCCCTAGTTAAAGATTACTTTGGTGAAGTATAACTCACCTTTTAGGTTGAAGTGTTCTGTATCATTCTGATCTAGGAAAGCAGCGGATATGTAAGGAACATAACGGCCCGCATAACTTTCTCCAGTAACATAGATCTTGAAGTTTTTGATCCCAAAGATCTGCTGCCAGTTCTTGAAGAACTTCACAAAGTCTTCAGCAATCTCCTCCTCGGACGTAGCGGTTGGGACACCCAGAGAGAATCCCGTTCCCACAGGTTGGTCAACCCTACAAAAAATAGGTTAGGTCGATACCGCCCATGTAAACTCAACTAGCGATCCAGTAATATCACACTTACCACAGAACATTGGTGAGATTCACCCACGAGTATGGGTTCTCAACAGGCTGGTAGGTTCCAGGCTGCCACACGAATCTACCATTCTCCTGGAGAAAGGCCTCAAGGGAACTGCAACCAGGGCCACCATTCAGCCAGATGGTGATCTCATCCACAGGCTCGCCAATAGTGGGCTGGAAGACAAAGAAAAGGGACCGTGACACGTTGCCCTTCTCAATAGGGACCAAGCCGGAATACATCTCGCCCAGATCGAAGTGAACATCAGGCAGGCTTTCCACGCGGTAAGCTGTCCGACGGAAGCAAATCAGCCATCGTTCAATATCGAACTGAGATACATACGCTTAGTCTTGTTGTTCAAGAACTGATAGTCCTCGACAGGGATCTTCAACGAGTGTTTCACGGCGTTAGCGGAACGCTTCGCGATGTTCATGGCGTCGCGAGCTTTTTGGCCAAATCGACCATGTTTAGCAGCTGAAGCATTATCCGTGCACAGCGAGACGGCTAGGACAGCCGTCGACAACAGACTGCGAAACAGCATACTGATGAAGGGCCTTTGGGGGAGGGGCCAGTGGACAGGCGTGCACGAACACCGAGCCTATCGATGGGGGTGTCGGGGGCTTTATGTGCGGGTGCCAGTTCCATGCTGCCTAACGATGATGTAGTGCAGCGACGCTAGGACGACGTAGCACATGGAGGGAACCATATGATTGTCTGAGTACACTCTCAGAACCAGGCTTCTCAGCCACTGACACAAAGTAACTTGTCGGGAACTCGAGGGCGGGGAATAGCAACGCGGCAAGGTGATGGGACCTTGCAGAAACATCTCTGGCGGGGCCATGCGCGAATAGGATGCAACGAGGTAGCGAAGAGGTACCAATGAGAAGCTCGCGGACAGCTATGGGAGAGGAGAACCAAGCATGATCCCAATGATGTTGCAGCGGCTGCCCTCGGAAAGAGACCTCGTGGGAAGAGGAATGCGATGCTCATTTCCTAATGCGGGAATTCAAGCGGAAACTGCGGGCCTGTAGCGTGATGATAACGATTGTCGGTGACGATACCTTGAAGTCGTATCAGGTCAAGCTTCGGCATTCGCTAATGATAAGAGGCATTAATCAGCCGATATCGTGATGAATGGAGCCCTGAACACCTCCACTCGGCCTTGCTGGATGGCTGTGATACGATGGATGGTCCCGCCGATGTCTCAAGGTCTCGCGGAGTACGTCGGGGGTCCGAACGGCAATGGGCCCGAGTGCAGAACTGCAGTCCTGCAGAAAGATAGCGCGCAGCTATCCGGTAAACCGAGTATGCAGTTGCCATTTAGACTGAAATGCTTTTTATGTCCATTTATTCCTTCCCATTAAGCTCGAGTGTGTGTGCAAATACTCCGGCCGGATTCTGCAGAGGGCCCTTTAGATCTAGACGGGAAATCATAATAGTTCGTTCTTGGACGGCAGCCTGCACCAATCAGCATCGTGGTGATCATTCAATCGGCTATGCAAATATAGCTCAGTAAGAATGAGATGTTCTCCATTCTTCTTTAGAAAGCCGTTGTGTAGTAAGAATAAGAAAAAGGGAGTTTGCTTCGCCAACCCAAGTTCAATACTGCCATGACTGTCCGCTCCCGTCAGAGGAAGAAACAGGCACGTGCTTCTGTATGTTTAGTCGGTGCACAACGACCAAGTCGACAACAACAATGCAGACATCCCTCCTCGAAATTGAGGAGTGCAGTCGCTTTGATTCATTAACAATATTTTGGCGATGGGGCTGTCATCTATAGATACAGTATTCGCTAAACTAGCATACCTCGGGGTACCTGCCCTGTCTCGTTTAAGTCCGAAGTCATGAGTGACTCCCTCGCCTCCAGAGAGTTCATCTTACCTGGCACTTTGTCCTGCAGAAGATAAATGATAGGCTGATGCCTTTTCATTGACTTTCGCTGCTAGTAGGGATGAGGGCGACCGAGATATTCCCTATGACAATGCCCTTGCAGCAGCTTGCCTGAGTGGACCTACAGGTGCTGAATGACTGGCTGCTCTCGGAGGCATCTTGATCCATGTAGAAAGGGCAACCATGACATCTTCGTCATCTCAGAGGATCCACGGCTTTCGACAACTATATCACTCTCCCGGGGAATTTCCCAGCCGGCATCCACCATTATATATGGCTCGAGGAGGACGTTGTCAACCCACTTCCACCCACACGAGGTCAACCCCTTCTCAGGACCGATTCGTTTCTGATCAACCACTTATACCCCTTTCATTCAAGCCTTGAACTCTGGTCGTTTTGCTGGCGACATGCCAATCAACTCATTGACTACTCCACAATCTATCTGCAATTTGCATCAAGCTCCTTTTTCCTCGGCCTCACTGCCTCGGTTCTTACAAAGTCTTCTGCATCTTTACTCAAATAGTTTAGCGCGTCCAGATTATGCCAGGAAAGAAAGTTGCAAGCAGGAATGGCCGTGGCTGGGAAGTAGACCTAAGACACTAGATATACAACCATTTCAGTGTCCACCGGCCGGCCGACGGTTCGCCAATGGGAAAGACTCCCGCTACTGGGAGCAGCCGAGGGAAACGCACCGGAAGGGAAAAGCCTCCACTGCGGAGCTAACAGGGCTGCTAAAGACCCTCTGGTTCCAAATGTGCTTTTTCAACATTTTTCCCGACCATATCAAAGCACATTCTCCTTGCCACATTAGCATCCAGTCAGGCTTGGGCTCATGGGGGTAGCCGTATGCTCAAATAGTTCCTCTTACCTCCTCTGACCTCTGCGCACTCTCTGGTTTGGGATCCTTGGGCTCATTGGGCTCAAATTTCTTTCTGTGTGTGTTCCATTAGCCGGCAACCCCTCGCTCATTCTGCATTGCAAATAGAGGGGTGATATCACGCACAGACGGAAAGGCCCCTTTTAACCGAACTGTCTACGGTAGCTCGATACCCCTTCTATCATTGGGAGGGCGGTAAAAATGAGGTCGTCTGCCGATTTAGACATAGAAAAGACGGAAGGAAACCGTGCAATTAAGAACATCCCAGGCTTGCCTGGTTTTCATGGTACAAATTCTCCCCAGGCTGGAGAAAAGGTCCTGGATGGTACAACCGACAGTCGTGAGTATCGTGAATATCATGATGCAAGTCCAGCCATCAACATGACGGAGGAACAGTCTCATACCGGGGTCCAACACGATAGCAACGTACCGCAGGCAGAGACTATGCTTGAAGATGGCCTTCAGAGACCCTCGTCTGGAGCGTCTGACTCAGAGAGCTTCGCACACAGCGCCCCAATGTCTCGAGTCACAACGGATGCAGATGGAAACACATATCCTGAAGGCGGACTAGAGGCCTGGCTGGTTGTCTTTGGTAGTTTCATGGGTCTCTTTGGCTCCCTCGGCTTAGTGAACACCATTGGAACTTTCCAGGCCTATATTGAGGATCACCAGCTCAAAGACTACAGCTCTGGAACTACAGGCTGGATTTTTGGCATGTACGCGTTTTTGACCTTTTTCTGCGGTGTACAGATAGGTCCAGTCTTCGACGCCAAAGGTCCACGATTCTTGGTGTTTTCGGGTGCTGTGTTGGTCATCGTCATGATGGTAGCTTTGGGTTTCTGCACTCAATATGGCACTTC